TTAGAAAAGAAAAACCTCACTGTAACAATGACACTATGTAGTGCATTTTATTTTATCCTCACCGAAGGATATTTTTTCCACTGCTTCTCACAGAGTGAAGGGGGGGAGGGGAACACCAAAGTGAGAAAGACACACTGACTAGTTGCCTCCCACACATGCCCCAACCGGGGCGGGGATTGAGACTGCAACTGAGGTATGTGCCCTTGGCTGGAATTGAACCTGGGACCCTTCAGTCCATGGGCCCACACGCTAACCACTGAGCCAAACCAGGTAGGGTAAGAGATATTTTGATAAACCTATCTTTATGGGTAAATCTGATATGTGAATAAAGACACTCCTTATAATTTCTTTTAATGTTTCCCCTACTTGGTTTATAATATTCTCAAAAGCAAGTTGTATAAGGTGCAAACAACACCTATTCATGTGTTTAATATATGCTAGTTTCCTCCACTCAAAGATTCTCATGGGTAATGACATGCTTCCTTATTTTTTATCCCCCGGGACCAGACTACTATGCCAGAGTAAAACCTCAGTAAGTATTGACTAAATGATTATCCCCTATGTCTGTGGTTCTCAACCAGAGGGAGGCTCCAGAAATGTCCCTAGGGAGCATTTCAAAATTATGCCTGTTTCCAGAGAAAATAACTCAGTAAGTCAGATAAAACCCTGTCAATGCACCTAAATTCTTCAAAAATTCTGCTCAACTTCTGACATATAAGTGTAATTCATGTCAAAACTCACATATACAGTAACATATACAATAGAATGCAAAAGACAATCTAGGATTTGAGAATTTAATCTGAAACATTTTTATCTTAGCACTAGGAACCTACTCTCTAATAGAGACTATAGTGAAATGCTTTAGGAAATTCTCAAGGATTGTATCTTGGATAACCAGTGGCACCTGAACCCATGAGTTAACACAAACTAGCAACAGGCATATCTAATAAGTTTTACCCCTAGTGCTAGCGAGTTTTCAACTGTCTACTTGTACAAAAAACAGAACCAGAATTAACATTGCAGGTGAGCATGATGAAACCAAAGCACACGGTGTTAAAGTTACTCTCATTCAAATTAAACAAATATGGAGATCATTATATGATCAGCACAGAACTATCCTACAAGTTAAATTAGCTAGCTATAGGCAAGTCTTGAGAATCTTAAAAGAAACGCATGCAACACAGTGTATGCACCCTAGAGGCTCACCAGGGACAAGTTTAGTATATCCCTAAGTGATCAGTTGGTACATGGTAGTTCCCATAGTCCTTGAAGAGACAGGCCAAAAAGATAGTCACTTTTACTTTCAAAACTCATGTTAGCTAAATACTTAATTCATAAATTAGCTATAACCTAAGAGTAAAGTTAAATCCCATTTCAATGCTAAGTGGGAGAAGAGAACTTACTTCATATAGCCAAGACTAATACGACATTCATTCACCTAACTATAAAACAGAAAATGAAATGGTTCAAAATACCAGTACAGCATGGAGTTCAAGAGCTTGAGATGAGGAAGACTATCTGATTTGAATCTCAGTTACTTATTAGCTGTGTGACCATAGACAAGTAACTTAACCTCTCTGTGCCTGTTCCCTTAGGTATAAAATGGAATGGTAAGGGCATCTATCTCACAAGGTTGTTGTAAAGATTAAATAAGTTGACACTCATAAAGGGTTTAGAAACAATGTTGAGTACATAGCAGATATGACGACCAAGCTATTATTAGTAGCAGAATGATACATGCAAAAGAAAACCTTTTTGAATACCAAAAACCTAAAGGATGACATGATAATGTAGTTTAGGAGCATACACCATGGAGCCAGATTGTCTAGGTTCTAATCCCAACTCTGATATAACCCTGGGTGTTTTTTCTTTAACCTCTTTCTCAAGATTTCTAATCTCAAAATGGGAACAATAATCGAACCTGTTTCTTTGGGTTGTTATAAGATTAAATGAGTTAACACAAGTGTTTCAAACAGTTCTGACACATTGCAAACAAAGCATGAGCTATCCTTTTAGGCTCGGTTCACATTATATTTTATGTAAAGTTCTCTAAATGTCCCCGAAACACATGCACTGTAGTTATTTTGTTTAATGGGAGTAGTAAAATTGCTATGGCTCCCAAATACCACCAATCAACTTGGAGTTTCCAGTTTTGATTATTGTTGCTTAATAAGTAGCCTCATTAGACCATACTACAGCTGGTATAAAACAAAGAATACAGCAAAAAAACAAAGTTGTCTGATAAGGCTGCTTGGTCTAAGAAATATTCAAACAAAAAATAGTAAGAACATAAACTTTAGAATAAAACAAATTTGAAGGCTTGATCAAATGAACTACCAATGGTTAGATAGTCTGACAATAAGCACTTCATTAAAATTACAACTTAATATTTGGAATTGGAGGGTTTAAGAGAATTCAAAATGAGGTACATGGCACAAGAAATGCCATACCAACATCAACCTACTTGACCTCATTATTTCTAGCACAGAGGTGCCCTCTCCCAACAGTTGTCGACTTGCTAAAATTGTTTGGAACTGGGATTTCTTTTTAAAGTTTCACTATGTAGTCTGACAGCAACTGCTAAAAAATCAAAGCACAATCAAGTTAAAACTTTTCTACGGGTTAAAACAAAAAGACAATGATTTTTCCAATTTGTAAAGTGTCAAGTTTCTGTATCATACAAATCTTTAAGATATTTACATGACAGTCAAGTATTAACAAAGAATACTAGACTAGAAAAAGTTCTTTAATAGAAGTTTTGGAGATTAAAGTGCTATTAAAACAGCAGTAATAATAATCTGAGTGTCATGTGCCGGGGGTCTATTCAAAGCCACACATTAACCTATTTAATACTAAAAAACCAAAAACAAAATAACCTCTAGAAATCTAAAATTTGTTTTGCTCACTGCTGCATCCTTGGACTACTTATTGTTCATATAAAAAAATACTCATTTTCTAGAAGCACACAGATAACTTGCCCAGTCCTAGAATTCTAACTAGAGCATTTCTGCTCCAAAGTTCACACTCTTAACCATTATATTGCCTCTCTAAAGCTTTTTAAAGCATTAAAAGTGGTGTCAACAGCAGCTGGTTATCACCTGCAAAAGAAAAAAAATCAATGAGACCCTCCTTTAAAGCGTTCAGTTCCTTATGTAGAAAAAATTATGGATTCAAAATTATTCCACATCTGAGTGGCCTGAATTCCCATAAGATTAAAAAGGGTTTGATTCGTACTAAATATTATGTTCCTTGTATTAACTATATTGTAAAATCTATAACTATGCTTCTCCAATGTGTGGCTGGCCTGCCAAGGGGTAACAGAAAGGGGTGTTTAAATAATCCTTTAAACCTTAATTCCTAGTTTTTCTTCCTCTTCTTTTCCATCTTTTAAAATAGACAAAGACTTAAGTTTATAATTTACACAAACCCACAATGACAATGCAATGATGGCCTAAAACAAAATCAAAGATTTCAACATCAATCCATGGAGTGAAGATCTAAACCTTCATCTTCAAAAATACCAGTTTTGCCAAATAAACACCAAAGTCACACGTAAAAGTAAAAGTAAATCAGTATCAGGTCTATTTTAGAAAAGCCAAGACCTTGCATTTCCTTCCATGCGCAACTCTTAAAAAAAAAAGGGAAAAAAAAGTAACCTATCAAAAATCAAAGATTCTAACCCACAACCTCCCTTGTCTCCTAGTTTTTAGTGAGGCCGAATTTATTTCACGACATTTTTTTCAAGTTAGCTGTAAATACTCCACCCTCCTCGATTGTGCAAGAACCAAACACACTACACATACACAAGTTACAAAAAGGGGAAATACGGTCTGAGAGTTTGAATACAGCGAAGTATTGAGCAGGAGGTCTTAGTGCAGTGTACGACCTAATATAAAAGCTAACATTTAATAAAGAATATTATTTCATATTATTACAAAAGGAGATGCCGGAAAAAGCCTGAACCAGTTAAAGCAGCCGCCATCTTAAAATGCGGGATAGAAGTTAGAGCAAGAAAATGAGACTAAACCACCGGAGGTGGAGGTTCCGCTCACCCCGAGCCTAGAAATATCTTTTTTTAAAAAACTGAGATCAAGAGGTTAATATCATATACCACGTTTTAAGAATCGAAACAATCTTCCCAGAAGTTGCTATTAAATGGACTGAGGCAGAAGTAGGTACACCTAACCTCAGCTTACGGCCATCGCACCCCTTCCCCCTCTTCCCCCCCCCC